CCCGCATCCACCACCTTCGAACGGGGGGCAACAAATTAGGTGCGCCGAATCGTAGATTCCGGCGATTATTGCAGCTACGCTGCAGTACTCCAAAATTTTGCATCTTGCCAGATGCAAAACTCCTATTTTTTTATGGGCCTACGGTCCTTAAAAAAAATAGGGGTGGGTAAGTTCTTATCACCGCCAGTGTCACTGGCGGGGTGGATGATAACGAAAAAACGATCGATCAATAGTTCTATGAACCTTTATCGGGCCTGGGCTTGACATGCGGCTTGCCACCTCTGGAGTGCCCGAAAATTGAAATTCGCTGGCACCTTTAAGTTACAGCGCCGCCTAATTTCCCAGGGCCTGGCATGGTTGCACATTGCGCACATTGCGGACATGCTGGTTTCTAAGACCTCCCCCAAGTGGGGGGGGGTGATTTGCTAGCAGAGCAGCACGGCCAACAAGCTAAAGTGGAGTTTTACAGGCGGTGCATTGGGAGGTACCTCCCAATGAAGTCCTTAACACCGCCAGTGTCACTGGCGGGGTGCATTAAACTTGGAGAAAGATAGAATCGAACTATCATCTTTGTGATGCAAACACAATAGATTACCATTATCATATTCCCCCTTCAATGTAAATTGATTTCCGAGTCCGCCTTAAGGCGGATTCGGACCCGGGTTTTTCAATATATTTTTATATTTCTTTTATTGAGATATTCTCACCCACAGATAATTTATTTGTGACCCCGTACACTCTTCCCTGAAAGGGATCCCCACCCCAGAAGAACTTCATTTTTAGGGGAATCCCCCGTGCTGGGAATATACTCGTTATGCCGACACGACGCCGTCACTCAGGACGCCCGTGTCGAAATATTAAAGCCTTATTAAATCCTACCGCGGCTCTATTTAATAGAGACGCATGATTTTGCAGGTTCTTTCCACAACCTGCATTTCTGGCGGGGCTTATAACACCAATTTTTCTACGGACCGAAGGCCCATCCACCCGTCAGAAGGTGGTGGCTGCGGGGAAATGATATTTATCATTTCCCCGCATCCACCACCTTCGAACGGGGGGCAACAAATTAGGTGCGCCGAATCGTAGATTCCGGCGGGATTCCCCTTACTTACCCCTGAGCCCTTGGACACCATGGCCCGGGGCTCAGGGGGGGAAAGAAATCCAGTGGATTTTTTAATTGGGATTGAACTTGGTTGGTCTGACCAGACCAACCCAGTTCAATTAGCCCCGTACCTCTTCAGGGCCGATTTCAGACCCCGTATACTCTTCCCTGAAAGGGAAGAGCGGGGATGAAATCGATCTTAGCAGAGGTCGGGTTATAGCACGTCTTCCAGATTGAGATTAAGTCTCCACTCCATAAGACCACATAATTTTGGAAACAAGTGGGTTCGAACCACTGACGTTCTCCTTAAAAGGGAGACACTCAACCACCCGAGTTCTGTTTCCTGACCCCGCACACTCTTCCCTGAAAGGGAAGAGCGGGAACGAATTGAATTTGATAAATCCCCTAATTCGGCCCATCATAAATTTGGCTTTTGCTGCGCAGATGCCATGCATGATCTTTGATCATGATGGACACCAAAATTTGACAAATTCGAAAAGGTGATGTAGCCACCGAGGTGATTAGTCTCGTAGAATTCACATTAGCGCCAAAGTTACTTTATTGTAATAACACCCCTATTTTTTTTTACGGACCTACGGCCCATAAAAAAATAGGAGTTTTGCATCGAAGATGCAAAAGTTTATTTCCGACAAGGAGGTGTAGCCCGGTGCTTAGTTCACTTCACCGCAATATCAAACTGGACCGGATTATATGGCTTCAGCCGTTATGATTTAAAGCTAGAGGGGAGTTAAGGCAATAATATCCTCGATCCTACGCTTATAAACCAATTTTGTATTTCATCATTGGGGGCATCACAGTAGCCAACAATTCTTGTAACACAGAAATTGAATAAGCCGGTATTATGATTACATAACCACACCCGCTCCCCCCATCCGAAGGTGGTGGGTGTAACCCACCATCTTCTATCCCCCACAAGCGAAGCTTATGGGGGGATGGGT